TCTGTAGTGCGCAGGGCTCCATATCCCCCACTGCCTAGCCTGCAGGGCGAGCAAAGGGAGAGCGCAGAGTGCAATGGGACAGGAATACACTTTTGTCTTTCGGAGTGTGTACATGTATGTGTGTATACACACTTGTATATATGGTTGCTAAACCACGCGGCCCCTGCACGTGAGGGGGTGGATTCATTCGTTCAGCAAGTATTGCTGCCCCCTGCCCCCCTCTCCGCCTCCCCTGTGGCATCCCCCACCCCTGGGGATACATCAGTGAGGAAAACAAAGACCCCTGCCTTCATGGAGCCTGTATTCTAGGAGTGTCTTAGTCTGTTCAGGCTGCCATAACCAATTCCCATAAACTTGATAGTGCTTAAAAAGCAAAATTTATTTCCCACAATTCTGGAAACTGAGAAATCCAAGATTAAGGCACCGGTAGATTCAGGGTCTGGGGAGAACCCCTTCCTGATTCATAAAGACGGTTCCTGCTGTGTCCTCACGTGGCGGAAGGGCTGAGGGAGCTTTCTGATATCCCATTCATGAGTCCTCGTAAACTAATCACCCACCAAAGGCCCCACCTCCTAAGAGCATCACATTGGGGGTTAGGATTTCAACATACGAATTTTCAACATACGACATTCAGTCTGTTGCAAGTAGGCAGACAATAAGCATAATAAATAAGTTAGTGTATAGTATGATAGAAAGTGGCAAGTGCTGTGGGGAAAAAACAGGACAGGTGAGGAGCATCGGGAGCGCTGGGGGAGAGGGTTGGACGTATATTTATTGGCAAGGAAGGAGCCCTGCGATGTCTCATTGAACGACAAATGTAAGACAAAACGCAGTCTATACAGCATTTCCATTTTTTATTTATGGGTAAAAATGTGTTCTACAAGCCTTAAAGAGGAGCGCACGTCCTCAACTGTGCATTCCATGTGGCTCTCTCGTATTCCAGGGGACAGAATAAAGTTAAACCCTTTCTGAAGAATCCCTTTGTGGTTACACCTCAATTCCGAGACCTGCTGCCTGTTCTTAGATCTGCACTGCTCTTTCTTCGGACTTCCAAGGAGCAAGTCAAGTCATTTGTGGTGGGAAGCCAAGATTTCCCACTCAGCCGCCTGAAGAGTTGGAAATTCTGTTCATGGAGCCGGAAGTCCCTGGAGATTTGGGGGTTAAGTCAAGGGCCAGCTACTGATTTGAACGCTCTGTGCTTCCATTCCACCTTCTGCAAAAATGAGGCGAATTATGTTTGCAGTGAAGACTAAGTTAATGTGTGAAAAGGCCTGGTGTATTGGAAGCACTTGAGAAATGTTATTCATTATTTTGGCTGACACTGAGTTTTAGCTGACTGGGAGACATCTAAATGGATATGTCTGGGACAGAGGATGATATGGGTTAGGAGCTCGACAGAGAAGCAAGTGACAGAGATTTGGGGCTTATTCCCAGAGGGGGCTGTGGCATAAGACGAAATATATATTTGGTCTTTGTCCCCAATTCCTGACACAGAGCTCCTAAAGCCCTCGGCATTTCTTGGGTGAGAGGAGCATCTTTTTTTTTTTTTTTTAAGATTTTATTTATTTATTTGAGAGCGAGAGACACAGCGAGAGAGGGAACACAAGCCGGGGGAGTGGGAGAGGGAGAAGCAGGCTCTCCGCCGAGCAGGGAGCC